TGTTGCCTGCACACTACACCTCCCACGGTGGTGTTGCCCGCAGACTACACCCCCCACGGTGGTGTTGCCCACAGACTACACCTCCCATGGTGGTGTTGCCCGCAGACTACACCCCCCACGGTGGTGTTGCCCACAGGCTACACCCCCACGGTGGTGTTGTCCACAGACTACACCTCCCACGGTGGTGTTGCCCGCAGACTACACCTCCCACGGTGGTGTTGCCAGCAGACTACACCCCCCACGGTGGTGTTGCCGCAGACTACACCCCCCCTCGGTGGTGTTGCCTGCAGACTACACCTCCCACGGTGGTGTTGCCTGCAGACTACACCTCCCACGGTGGTGTTGCCCGCAGACTACACCCCCCTCGGTGGTGTTGCCTGCAGACTACACCCCCACGGTGGTGTTGCCCGCAGACTACACCCCCCTCGGTGGTGTTGCCCGCAGACTACACCCCCACGGTGGTGTTGCCCGCAGACTACACCCCCCACGGTGGTGTTGCCTGCAGACTACACCCCCCACGGTGGTGTTGCCCGCAGACTACACCCCCCACGGTGGTGTTGCCTGCAGACTACACCCCCCACGGTGGTGTTGCCCGCAGACTACACCCCCCACGGTGGTGTTGCCTGCAGACTACACCTCCCACGGTGGTGTTGCCCGCAGACTACACCCCCCACGGTGGTGTTGCCCGCAGACTACACCCCCCACGGTGGTGTTGCCTGCAGACTACACCTCCCACGGTGGTGTTGCCCGCAGACTACACCTCCCACGGTGGTGTTGCCCACAGACTACACCTCCCATGGTGGTGTTGCCAGCAGACTACGCCTCCCACGGTGGTGTTGCCCGCAGACTACACCTCCCACGGTGGTGTTGCCCGCAGACTACACCTTCCACGGTGGTGTTGCCCGCAGACTACACCCCCCTCGGTGGTGTTGCCTGCAGACTACACCCCCACGGTGGTGTTGCCCGCAGACTACACCCCCCACGGTGGTGTTGCCTGCAGACTACACCTCCCACGGTGGTGTTGCCTGCAGACTACACCTCCCACGGTGGTGTTGCCTGCAGACTACACCTCCCACGGTGGTGTTGCCCGCAGACTACACCCCCCTCGGTGGTGTTGCCTGCAGACTACACCCCCACGGTGGTGTTGCCCGCAGACTACACCCCCACGGTGGTGTTGCCTGCAGACTACACCCCCTTCGGTGGTGTTGCCTGCAGACTACACCCCCACGGTGGTGTTGCCCGCAGACTACACCCCTCTCGGTGGTGTTGCCCGCAGACTACACCTCCCACGGTGGTGTTGCCCGCAGACTACACCCCCACGGTGGTGTTGCCCGCAGACTACACCCCCCACGGTGGTGTTGCCTGCAGACTACACCCCCCACGGTGGTGTTGCCCGCAGACTACACCCCCCACGGTGGTGTTGCCTGCAGACTACACCTCCCACGGTGGTGTTGCCCGCAGACTACACCCCCCACGGTGGTGTTGCCCGCAGACTACACCCCCCACGGTGGTGTTGCCTGCAGACTACACCTCCCACGGTGGTGTTGCCCGCAGACTACACCTCCCACGGTGGTGTTGCCTGCAGACTACACCTCCCACGGTGGTGTTGCCTGCAGACTACACCTCCCACGGTGGTGTTGCCCGCAGACTACACCTCCCACGGTGGTGTTGCCCGCAGACTACACCTCCCACGGTGGTGTTGCCTGCAGACTACACCTCCCACGGTGGTGTTGCCTGCAGACTACACCTCCCACGGTGGTGTTGCCCGCAGACTACACCTCCCACGGTGGTGTTGCCTGCAGACTACACCTCCTACGGTGGTGTAGCCTGCAGACTACACCTCCCACGGTGGTGTTGCCTGCAGACTACACCTCCCACGGTGGTGTTGCCTGCAGACTACACCTCCCACGGTGGTGTTGCCCGCAGACTACACCTCCCACGGTGGTGTAGCCTGCAGACTACACCTCCCACGGTGGTGTTGCCTGCAGACTACACCTCCCACGGTGGGTGGGTGGGAGCTGGCGTTCAGCTGATGGTGTGGTGCAAGGCTCACTATTGATCTCCCGGACGCGGGCATATTAAAGGTGTTTCTCAGAGTGTGAGGGAGTGTGAGGGAGTGTGTGGGAGTGGGGGAGTGTGAGGGAGTGTGTGGGAGTGGGAGGGAGTGTGAGGGAGTGTGTGGGAGTGTGTGGGAGTCGGGGAGTGTGAGGGAGTGTGTGAGAGTGTGAGACAGTGTGAGGGAGTGTGAGGGAGTGGGGGAGTGTGTGGGAGTGTGAGGGAGTGTGAGGGAGTGTGTGGGAGTGTGAGGGAGTGGGGGAGTGTGTGGGAGTGTGAGGGAGTGTGAGGGAGTGTGTGGGAGTGTGTGGGAGTGTGAGGGAGTGTGTGGGAGTGTGTGGGAGTGTGAGGGAGTGTGAGGGAGTGTGAGGGAGTGTGAGGGAGTGTGTGGGAGTATGAGGGAGTGTAAGGGAGTGTGTGGGAGTGTGAGAGAGTGTGTGGGAGTGTGAGGGAGTGTGTGGGAGTGTGAGGGAGTGTGTGGGAGTGTGAGAAAGTGTGAGGGAGTATGTGAGAGTATGAGGGAGTGTGTGGGAGTGAGTGGGAATGAGTGTGCGAGAGTGCGGAAGCGTGAGATTGAGTGTGTGAGAGAGAGTGGAAGTGTGAGTGTGAGTGTGTGAGAGAGTGTGTAACTGTGAGGGAGTGTGAGTGGGGGAAAACGAATATGAGGAAGAAATATGGGAGATGTGAGAGGGAGGAGTTTGGACAGGTTATGAGGGAGAAGGTGGGTGAGGGCGGAGGAGAGGGCTCAATGAGCGTGAGGATGGGATGAGGTGTGTACCTCATAATGTACACAACCTCATAATGGTTCTAGGGCTTGGCTATGGCAGATCACACAGACTCTTGGTGGTGGCAGACTCTTGGTAAGCAGTGAGGGGACTCTATAAGTTTGTGGGGGTGTTGGGGCTTAACCTATCTTGACTGTAAGATGAACACATCTGGAGTATGTCTGGGGTATGTCTGGGGTATGTCTGGGGTATGTGTGGAGTATGTCTGGAGTACCTCTGGGGTATGTCTGGGGTATGTCTGGGGTATGTCTGGGGTATGTGTGGAGTATGTCTGGAGTACCTCTGGGGTATGTCTGGGGTATGTCTGGGGTATGTCTGGGTATGTGTGGAGTATGTCTGGAGTACCTCTGGGTATGTCTGGGGTATGTCTGGGGTATGTCTGGGGGTATGTCTGGGGTATGTCTGGGGTATGTCTGGGGTATGTCTGGGGTATGTCTGGGGTATGTCTGGGGGTATGTCTGGGGTATGTCTGGGGGTATGTCTGGGGTATGTCCAGAGTATGTCTGGGGTATGTCTGGGGTATGTCTGGGGTATGTCCAGAGTATGTCTGGGGTATGTCTGGGGTATGTCTGGAGTATGTCTGGAGTATGTCTGGGGTATATCTGGGGTATGTCTGGAGTATGTCTGGAGTATGTCTGGGGTATATCTGGGGTATGTCTGGAGTATGTCTGGAGTATGTCTGGTGTATGTCTGGGGTATGTCTGGAGTATGTCTGGAGTATGTCTGGAGTATGTCTGGTGTATGTCTGGGGTATGTCTGGGGTATGTCTGGAGTATGTCTGGTGTATGTCTGGGGTATGTCTGGGGTATGTCTGGAGTATGTCTGGGGTATGTCTGGGGTATGTCTGGTGTATGTCTGGGGTATGTCTGGGGTATGTCTGGAGTATGTCTGGTGTATGTCTGGTGTATGTCTGGGGTATGTCTGGAGTATGTCTGGGGTATGTCTGGGGTATGTCTGGAGTATGTCTGGGGTATGTCTGGAGTATGTCTGGGGTATGTCTGGGGTATGTCTGGAGTATGTCTGGAGTATGTCTGGGGTATGTCTGGAGTATGTCTGGAGTATGTCTGGAGTATGTCTGGGGTATGTCTGGAGTATGTCTGGAGTATGTCTGAGGTATGTCTGGAGTATGTATGGAGTATGTCTGGGGCATATCTGGAGTATGTCTGGAGTATGTCTGGGGCAAGTCTGGGGCATGTCTGGAGTATGTCTGGAGTATGTCTGGGGTATGTCTGGAGTATGTCTGGAGTATGTCTGGAGTATGTCTGGAGTATGTCTGGAGTATGTCTGGGGTATGTCTGGAGTATGTCTGGGGTATGTCTGGAGTATGTCTGGAGTATGTCTGGAGTATGTCTGGAGTATGTCTGGAGTATGTCTGGGGTATGTCTGGGGTATGTCTGGAGTATGTCTGGAGTATGTCTGGGGTATGTCTGGAGTATGTCTGGGGTATGTCTGGGTATGTCTGGAGTATGTCTGGTGTATGTCTGGTGTATGTCTGGGGTATGTCTGGAGTATGTCTGGGGTATGTCTGGAGTATGTCTGGAGTATGTCTGGGGTATGTCTGGAGTATGTCTGGAGTATGTCTGGGGTATGTCTGGAGTATGTCTGGAGTATGTCTGGGGCATATCTGGAGTATGTCTGGAGTATGTCTGGTGTATGTCTGGAGTATGTCTGGAGTATATCTGGAGTATGTCTGGGGGTATGTCTGGGGTATGTCTGGA